TAAATATTTTCTTGTTTTATCAATTTTATAAAATTTATAAAATATACAAAAGTAAAACCAGTTTCAGTTTTGAAAAAATAATTTTTATTCTAATTTTGAATAAAACAAAATTTAAACCATGTCATGTTTTATTAAAGCCATATTTTAATTTTAACAAAAAGTGGAAGTTTGATGGTAGCAGATTCTTATTTTCTCCAGAGTGCCAAATGCCATGACCATACCACTGGTTATTTTCAAAAGTTAACAATACCATTTACATTAACATCAATAATTGTTAGATATCAATAATTGTTTTATTTGGCTGTGTTGAATATGTACAGATGAAATAAAATTAACCACTATGCACCATGGAATAATGTCCATAAAAGTTTGCTTTTTATTTTATGTAAAAAAATTTTTTTTTTTTGTAGGGGCAATACTGGTTCCCCTTACTAGTTTATAAGAATCTCTGTAGGTGTGCTTGTGTATGTTTATCTTGGAAGATATGGGGGTTTGTGCTATTGTTTTTATTCACCTAATCTGATTTCAACCAAATTTTGGATTGTCCACATATTTTTAAAAACAGGCTTTGAAAAATATTGCAATATTGAAAAAAACAAAAAAAAAAAAAAAAGACTGATATTGATAACAGTGGTATTTGAACCATAAAACCATTAACAATATCAAAACATATTATTTCTTTGGTTTGGCCTTTTTTGATTTCAGTTTAACTTTACAAATCTGTGCTTTTATAAACCAGTTATTTTTTCTGAGTTTTGTCTTTCATTGGTTTGTGGTTTAATCAGTAGCATGAAGAAGAGGAGGGCAGAAGGTGCGATGGCCCTGGACACCCATATCAGGATGGCACCAAATCAAAAAGTGAAATAAAAATTTTGGTTTTGAAATTTTAAACTGCCTTTGTTAACTTCATTGTACAAGTGACTTACAGTCCCATAAACTGGTATGAATATGGATCCATGTCTTGATAAGTGAGACCGAAGTAGACCCACTTGATTCTTAGAGGTATACAATCAAGGAATTGGCCCCAGGCATCAGCAAACCTCTGCATGTCCCTGGATTTAACCCTTTTACATACCTAGGAATCAAGATGAATTCTACTGAAACGGATGTGAAAATTCGCATAGCTAAAGCCTGGGCTGCCTTGAATAAAATGGATGTAATCTGGAAATCTGATCTACCAGACAATCTCAAAACATAGATTCTTTTGTACCGCTGTAGAGGAAGTTTTATATGGTGCCACTGCTTGTACATTGACTAAAACACTTGAGTTTAAACTTGATGGAACCTATACTTGAATGCTGAGAACTATACTTAACATCTTTTGGAGACAACCTCTAACTAAGTCACTGCTCTATGAACCCATCTCTGATATTTCTACAATCTTATGTGAGTAGAGAATGCACTTTGCAGGACACTGCTGATGAGCAAAACAAGAGCTCGCAAGTGATCTACTGCTCTGGGCACCAAGCCATGGTACAAGACTGGTTGGTCATCCAGCAATCACCTACACTGTCCAACTATGTTATGACACAAAATGCCACCCTAATGACCTTCCAACCTTGATGCAGGATCATGAGAGTTGGCATGGTAGACTCATGAACATCTGAGCTAGCTTGACCAAATTAATAAATGATTTAACCTTTACTGGTATATGATTAGACAATTTGTCATGAATTTAAAAAAATTCCTCATTTTATCTTATTTAAATATACAAAACCTATTATTTAGTTGCTTGTTTTTGATTACCAGCATATCAACCTCTATGGCTTATTTAATGCCAAAAAAATTTTACTCAATTTTATTTATTTTTTTGGAGATAATAATGGTTTTAGTAATAAAAGTCTTACTAATTAACCCATAGATTGGGGGAGAATAGGTAGACTCATACCTTTCCCAAACATATTTGAGAATATTAGGGAATATAACAAACTCAACTGGAATTGCAACTAACAATTCCGAACTTTTATCCATCATACCAATTGCACATCCAAGCTTACAGCACCTGGTATTCTCAAACGGTCACCAATATAGGGAATGACCAGGCTTAACATTGCTTAACTTCAGTGATCGTATGGGAACTGGTCTGAGCCTATTAAGTGGGGGATCAGTTTGTAACTTGTTGGTAATACAAAGTTAATTAATAATTATGTTGTTACATGTTATTATTTGTTAATCAAATATCGATTATTTACAAGTGTGTTTTCAGAATTGTTTTCATTTTTTGCAGATGATAAAAGCTTAGAGAATTCACTATGGTCAAAAGATGAGGGATCAGTTTATTACTATGAAACTAGAAACCAATCCCCAAATTCCTGATACAACAAACTAATAAATAGCATAGCAGTATAAAAGCTGTTCCTGTTATAAAGTAATCTCCCATTTTATGTCCAAATCTCACTTCCTGTTACCCAAATACTGACTACCTATGAGAATATTTTTCATTTTGGAACAAAAAAAGTAATAAATGCATAAACAAAAAGAAAAAGAAACTAAATGAAACTGGGTAAACTATAAACCCAAACACATATTAGAAAATAAAATAATTTTAAAAGATTAAAATTTCAATATCCCCTCTCCTTTGTGCTCATATGTAATTACATCAACATAAATATCACTTTAATATCTCTTTTGATGATGATGGACTCTCATAATGTATGTGTTTGAAATAAGAGAGTGAGCATGCATGTTCTCTTTGTGCTGGTGACTATCTCAGGGATGTTATATTCAAATCTTAGCTAATATGTTGAACTCTTTTATATCAGTTATATAATAAATATATTTAGTACTCTATGTCATTTTTATAATCCAAGATACTTGCATTTAAAATGTGTCCATCATTATGGGGCACCCAGTATATATATATATATATATATATATATATATATATATATATATATATATATTGAATAATCCAGACATATGTCTATATATTTTTATTTTAATCCTCTCAAATTCACTGATCAATTTCTTAGAGCTGTTACAAAACCGAGTAAGAAAGATGCTGTACTTTCATTCTCATCCAAAATCATCTTCAGGGCTGAACTGCTAAGACAAAAATTAATGTAATTGACAGTTGAGAATTTTTTGTAAATGCACCGGAAACATTGTTATAATCAATTTACACTAAGAATATATAAGGGAGGTAACTTAGTTTAAATTTTTCATTATTAATATTTTAAAAATGAATGTTCAACATGAATATTTAAAAAATTTTTTTTACAATTTGACCATCCCAAAACATTGCTTTTAAAGACATTTTGAAACATTATTGCTATACTCATAATTAATTTCATTTAGTGTTGGTTTCATTTTTTTATATAGAGCACTTTGAGAATTTGAAATTTTTGTTTTTATTTTTCATCCATAGATTTGAGAAGATTAAAATATAAATAAATAGACATAACATGTCTAGATTATTCAGTCAAACATACTTCAATGAACGAATGAAGATATGCTATATATATATATATATATATATATATATATATATATATATATATATAAGTTAGTGGTTATAGTTGTTCCAACAAAAGAAAAGTGTATATTTTCTCTCTTCACTTTAAAATATATATAAATATATATATATATATATATATACATACATACACACATATGGGCACATGTCCAAATGTTGGAACATTCACTTTCTGACCACGAGCTCTGGGTTTGAATTTCACCATGGTCAATTTGTCAGGAAGGAGACTTCCTGATGTTATTGGTCATGAGCGGGCAATCCCAAGCATGCGGCACCTTTGGAAAGTGCCTGAAAACCATACCACAAGTTGGCCCAAACCTTGTGAGTGAGATTGGGTAGATGGTACCCTTGGGGGCCATTGATAGCTGTGCTAGCACAAAGTCACAAGTCATCGTAATTGAGGGTTTGAGTGTGCTGGCCTTGTTCATGTTGTTGATCACGATGGATAACACACTCTTTCCCAGAAACTGTAACTAAGGTCTGCTCATTCCTAACAATGCAGTATAAACCACAGATGGTCTGTGTGGGTGTTGAACAAACACATGTGCCTGAGCAAGCCTCTGCAATAGGGATCGGGTAGCCACCCTAGCAGATGGGTATCCTTGAATATGAGTGGCCAGCTATTATTATTATTATTATTATTATTATTATTATTATGTATATGTATGTATCAGTGAAAACCCACTTTATCCCACTTTATCATTGATTTCTGTAACAATAAAACATCTAAATTCTATGAGCAAAAATTGAGGAATGATTGCAAAAGAACTCAGAAAAACTATGTGGTATCGGTGTATTAGCTTGTTGGTGAAATAAAAGCAATCTCCCATTTTATGTCCATGTTACCCTTACAGCTTCTTTTTGTCAATTGATTGGTTTTCTATGGTTTTTGCAGGTTATTTAAATCCAGAAAATGTTTTTAGATTGTAAGAATTTTATAGATATAATAATGATTTACTGATACAAGTCCTACTAATTAACCCATAGCTGGAGGGGGGAGAAGAGAGATGGATTCATACTTTTCCCAAGGGTATTTGCATGTAAGTGGGTATAACAAACCTGACTAGAATTGAAGCTCAGTTTATAGCCACATCACAGTGAATGATCACTGAAGTTAAGCAACACTGAGCCTGGTCAGTACCTAAATGGGTGACTACTTAGGAATACTAGGTGCTATAAGCTTGGATGTGCAGTTGGTGTAATGGATAATGGCTTGGAATTGTTAATTGGAAAGCAGAGTTCCAATTCCAGTTGGGTTCGTTATGTTCATTTATATACAAATACCCTTGGGAAAGGTTAGAAGCTACCTCTCCCCCCAGCTATGGGTTAGTTAGTAAGACTTATCATTAAATTATTATTATCTCTAAAAAAAATTCTTAAAATCTAAAAATATTTTCTAGCTTTAAATAACCTGCAAAGGGTTGATAAGCCATAAATACTGAATCAATCAATTAATGGAATTGGAACTCATCTCTCCAATTTCCATTTTCAAGCCATTAGTCATTTCATCATCCACATATCCAAGCTTACAGCATCTGGTATTCCCAATCGGTCACCTATCTAGGTACTGAGCAGACTCGATGTTGCTTAACTTTGATGATCGTACAAGAACCAGTGTTTCAACATGATGCGGCTGTTAGCTGTACCACCTGCACATCCACAATTACAACACATGGTATTCTTAAGCAGTCACCATCTAGGTACTAACCAGACTCAATGTTGCTTAACTTTGGTAATTGTATGGGAACTGGTGTTTCAATGTGATTTGGCCATCAGCCAAATCACATTGAAACATTTTGCACTTGCTAATCAAATATCAATTACTTATAAGTATTGCTTTTTTTAAAAGTTATCTTATCATATGATTCATAGAATTTTTCAAGAAACACACACACACAGATTCTTATACAGTTAATATTGTACTTGTATTAATACAATACAATGGCTAATATTTCTACTTAAGAAATTTGAGGAAATGTGGAGTGGAACAAACTTATGCAGGAAAAGAATTCTTTTAATAACATAAGTCTAAACAATGGCATTTGGCAGGAAGGGCATCTTCTTATTTCTTCCTTACCAATGGTGGGTCATCAATCAAGGAAAACATAATGAGGTTTGTTTGGTACATGTTATTCCTTATTTTGATCAAATCTTGGTAAGCCTCTGAAAAAAGAGAGAGCGTAAAAATTTACAGAAAAGAAAAAAGAATTCATGAAATATTAAAAAAATACAATTTTCAAATCAGATTTTATTTGTCTCTCAGTGGAGAGAATATTTTCAGCCTTTAATGAAATTTATCCATGAAGCTGAATGTTTCTTATTATTTTATGAAAGGTGGATGCGACAGAAAATTTGAACTTGTAAAAATATTCAATTCATCCACAAAGGAAAAGAAAAGGGAAAGAAGAAAACAGATAAAGTGTAAATAAAACATTTTTATATTCCAGAAATTGTTGAAGTGTTTTATAAAAGTTCTTCTTTACTTTTGCTTTAGTCCAGTTTTTTTTTTTAACAGTTTTCAAATGACAGGAAAAAAACTAGGAACCAGAAGATTTCTTAATGACTCCACTTAATATTTCCACTTGGATTGCTACTTGAATTTCTTTTTTTCTTATGAAGACAGTTTTCAAATGACAGGAAATAGACTAGACACGGAAAGATTTCTTAATGACTGCACTTACTACTTTGACTTGGATGTTTACTACAAATGCTACTTGGAGAGCTGGTGTGGAAGGGGCCCAAGCCTGATTGGGGCCCCTCACTATCTTATCAACTTTTTTTTCTATCAACATTTATATACATTACAAATGAAACAAGGTACAACTTACTATTAAAGGATGGAAAATTTTTATGAATTTTGACATCATTCTGGGGCCTTTTATTTTTTTTGTTAAATCTCTGAATTTGTTTTGCTCTCTAAAAAACACTATATAAAATTCACTATTTTTTATTCATAATGTTGGATGTGTTTAAAAAAATTCAACTATTTAACAAGAAAAATCTCAAGTTTATGCTAAAGATTGCTGTAAAACATTGTTGATTGATTTAATATAAAATGATCTATTATGACATGTCTTTAATTTGTATGTAGATACATTGTATTTATTTTCAATTTTTCTAATTGAATTGTTCCTCTATATTGCATATCATCCATTATTGTACGTAATTAGGTTACAATAAAATTTGTATTTTATATAAATACCACCTTATGAAAATTGAGATGTAGCAGAATGGAGGGCCTCATATCATAGATTCAGAAGGAATATCATAGATTCAGGTAGGGGCCCACAACATCCTTGCAATGGCCCTGGCTACTTGGACTATCACATGGACAAATTACTTGATAAGTTGTCCTTGTATTTATAGCTGATGTGTGGACATAGTAGTGTACACAAAAATACATGCAGATGTTTAACAGAAAAATACTTGGCTCAGTTTAATGCAATATTAATATTGTGCTGTATGAAACACATGGTTCACTAAGGAGGTGTCATGTGGAGGAGAAATGAGACACATTTTGTCCCTACAGCATCATGTGGGTGAAGAGTGAAAGAAAAGAGAAAGGGATTTTGCCCTTTTTGTTTATACTGCTTTATATAATGACATCTGGCAGGAATTAAGAGAAATCCCCTGGATCACAAGATGGGGTAATTTTATGACTTTAAAAATAATAAAAGGTATTTGATCAATAGTTAACTTGTATTTATAGCAATCTTGATTCATTACAAAAAATATCTTTAATAAATTGTATTTTTGTAGGATTATAGTAAATCAACTCAGACCCAATGACATCACATTTCACCTGAAAATAGGGTGATCTCAGTTGTAAAAAAAAGGTTCCCTCAGGACAAAGTACAAACAGTTTGCAGGGTCACACAATTACTGCCATACTTCGCTGCTTCTCCAGAGAAGGTGTGTCATTTTATCTCAATCTTAAATGCTTCTGTTTTATGGCTGGTAGAAAGAATTTTTAAAGTTGGATATTCTAAGTGGCATCCACTTGACCAAAACAGAACAAATGAACATATAAATAAATTACAGTGACAACAAAGCCAGACACTGAAAATTTCTAGTTGCTGGTGTATATTAACAGTCTCAGATGGAGTTGAGGTAGTCAGTTCAGGTCTTTTGGCTGGGGACAAACTGTCCCCACTGAGTAGTTTCAGTGGTACTCATTCATGTTGCCACTTAACCAAAAGGGAACAAATGAATAAATAAATTACAGTGTTTGGAGTAAAGTGACAACAGAGCTGGACATTGAGAATTTCCAGTTGCTGGTGTATGTTAACAGTCACAGATAAGGTTGAGGTAGTCAATTCTTGTCACTTGGCTGAAGACAGACTGTCCCTCAAGTAGTTTCAATACCACCAATTCATGTTGCCAGTCACACATAATGGTATTGAGAAGGATAGAGTGTTGGTAAGAGATGATCTATTAGTCTGACGTAGCAGAAGTTGTCTCTAGTATCACCAAACTACTTGCTATTAAACACCTTAATATATTGGAAACAGCATTTGAGTTCTCGCTTCTTACTGTGGAATCTAAGTTTATGTTTTGTTACTTTGCAATGAGCCTTCCCCAGTTTTTGGTACACACCAACATGAACAAGAATGGTGATGTAATATGGGGATATCCTTGGCTGGTTGGTGAAAAGCTGAGTGAGGGCCCTATTGTATGCCTATGTGCTTCTGTTGACTGACTCAAAAAGTGCTTGCTATATGCCAGTTTTACGACATGTATGCAAAACCTCTAAGCAGTTAATTCAGAACATTCTCTTAAATTTTTCTGTTTGCTTCAGTTTCATAATGGAAACATGTACTTCCTTCATTGCAAACAGCATTAGCAAACCAGTATTTTCTGCACAATTTTCACTCAGAACATATGCCATATAATATTGCATTATACTATAAATTAAATTTCTGTTTCAATTTCTGGGATGAGGAGTTACCATGAAAATATTTGTAAAAAGATGGATGAAAACAATGTCATGTTGGTGAGTAAGTAATTGAAGTAGAGATGCCAATTCAGGATTGATTATGTTACAGATCCTTCTTTGGATTTTATCAAGGACCTCAAGATGAGAAGCAGAGCACCAAACCAGATATGGCAACAGCATTCAATGCATGAATGAATGGTAGATTTGTAAATGTACAAGATAGACTCTGATAAGAAAAAATTTCTGGCATGACACAGTGACCCAACTTTACTTGCAGAAGATTCAGCTATTAATTCAATGTATTCACTCCACTTCAAGTCAGTTGAAAACATGAGGCCAAGAAGACGCAGTGTATTGCACTCCAGGAGTCTAGCATCAGCCACATTTCCTTTTGGTTATTACTCCATTCTTAACCTCCTTTCAGCTACTTGTCTTTTGTAGTAGATAGATTCATACAAATCTTTATTATCCACAAAACATTTAATAGGGACACCTTTTTGACTATTGGCATTATAAATTATTTCATTGTATAAGGTAGCCAAATATATGATGTGACCAACTCTCTCAATCAGGGCCAGGGTTTCACTGGCTAATGTACTTCTTATTTTCTTTGACTGCCAAGTGATGGTGTTAATTCTAGCTCTGTCCTCTTCAAAAATAGGACAAAACTCCCTTGACTTCCACCATTGTGGAGATTCTCAAAAGAAGCATCAGTAAACAACACAAATTCTACTTGCTCTCCGTGATCTTGGTAATTTAGAGTAACCACTTTGGCTTGAATTTTTTGCATTATCTTATTTACACTTTTAAGGTCCTCAAAAGTGTTATTTTTAATTCAAGATGCAAAGGTAGTTACATCAAAAGCAATATCAGGATGGGTTTGTGCAGTAAGCCAGAGCAGTTGTCCAATTTTTGTTATTTAACAAGTTAACAAATGGGGTGTGGGAATTTATCAAAGAAGCTATTATAAAAAGTGCCAAATGGCATTTTCAAAATGTCTAACTGATAAAAATATAGACATGCTGGAAAGAGTGATACTATAGACACCTACATAGAAATGGAAGAGATGGTATTGCCTCAATCTCAAGTGTTTCTGTTTGATAACCTAGCGGATGGTTCCTTTTGAAGCTTGGTCTTCTAAGCGGTATCTAATTTGAATGAAGGGTAACATAGAAGTAAAGGAATGGATGAGGGATTTTCGGAGATCAAGTGGCAACAAAGCCTGAAATAGGATATATCTGAGTGCTGGTCTATATTAACAGTCATGCTTGGGATCAGGGAGAATTCTAGTCTGACCTTGGTGGGAGATGGATGTGTTTGTTGAGCAGTTTTGAAGCCTCCATTACCTATTGCCAGCCACTACATCAGGATGAATAGATGGGCAAGGAATTGGTAGGGAGAAGAGCTGACATGGCAGAAGTTGTCTCAAGTATCATCTACCTACCCATCGGGACAAGCAGGCAAATTCCCAAATAAAACATATATAATATGGCAAATAGGTTTTGGATTCTTAATTCTAAATGTGATGTTTGTCTTTCATCTTGTTTCCTTGTGAGCATGCAGAAGGCCCTTTTCTAGCTTTTGGTGCATACTAACAAGACCGGGAATCAGAATGCAATGTGAGATAATCATTGGTTGGTTGGTTGGTGGAAAGTTTGTATGTTTATATTCAGTTCCAAATAAAGGTAGAGAAACTTACCATTTTGATAAAAGCAATAGAAATGTTCTGGTGACCTAAACTGGTGTATAACAAGAGTTTTCCCATGGAAATCCCAATGGATCTGTCTGAAGTGGGTGATCATATTTGAGGCCACAACACCATGAGCCACATGTAAATTATCCATCAGGGCTGCAGCTGGACAGACATAATCCTTTTCAAACTGGCTCACCAGTTCATCATTTGCAGGCACTTTCACTTCCATGAAGGCAAATGTGCGATATTCTGTAAATAAAGGAGTAAAAAATGGGGAAATGCATGAAAATGAAGAGTAACAATAGAATTCAAAAAAAAAAAAATGTACAATCAAGATTAACAATGGATATAGCAGCCACTTTACTGCTACTTTTTGGTCAGGGATCAAAATTTTTATTTACTTTTAATCAACTTCACCACAAGCAAGGCAGTAAAGCCACTATGACACAAGGGTTTACTCAATGTGAAAGAATTAGAAAATAGAAGCATTATCAAGGAGAAGGAACAATACAAAAGTAATCAAGAAGACAGTAGATAACAACTGACTTTTGGATTTAAAGTTTTGAAGATCAGAGTTGGCTGGAAAGCATGGTGCCAGAAAAATGTTCCACAAGTTAGAAGTACAAGAAAAGAAACTGTTAGCAAAGAACTTGCGGTTACATCTAGCCATTTCAATTGTGAATTGATGAGATTTTGTTGCTAATCAAATCAGTCAGTTATGTGCTATGCGTGATACATGCTTAGGCAATCAGGTATCTTTTGATACATGACTAATGAAGCAGATTTTTTCCCGTAGTAGGTTGCTATTTCTTTCTGCAGTAGACCATTTGCCATCCAAGTTTATAGAACCCAGTCTGTGCTGCTATTTACCCATAGCCGGGGGAAGAAGAGGATTCATACCTTTCCCAAGGATATTAACACGTAAGTGAATGTAATGGATTCGACTGGAATTCGAACTCAGCTCTCCAATTCTTCAATCCGAGCTGCTATCTATCTTAAATTTATGAAGTCTAGGTACCATAGCAAAGAGCTTATTCAAATAATTACTATGAAAATATTTATAGAAAAGGTACAGGGAAGAAACTTTACAGCAGTGGAAAAGTGACTGAAGACAAGATGCCAGGTCAGGACCAATAATATTGCTGATTCTTCTTTGGATTTCATCAAGAATCTCTAAATATATAGCAGGAGCACCAAACCATATGTGGCAGTAATATTCAAGGTATGGGTGAATGGCAGACTTATAAATATGTAAGATAGATTCTGGCGAGAAAAATTGTCCAGCACAACACAGTGAACCAACTTTTTTAACAGTGAACCTAGCAAGGGATTCAAATATAGTTATTTTGTTTTACAATTACAGTGTAAAACAAAAAAGTTTTAAACATTGTGGTTTTCAACATAAACAGTCAGAAAATATTAAAAATATCAATAAATTTAAAAAAGCTTTAAAAACTCTCAGTGCAACTAACTTCACTGTGTGTTGTGCTTGTAGTATTTGCTAATTATGTTCTGTTTTTGTGTGAGAAATGGCTTAAAAAAAAACAAGCTAGGTGGCAAAAGTACTAAGGGCAGTAATTAAAATCATAAGAAGGTTAGAGAAGTTTCCAACAAAAGATGTAAGTGTTAAATCAGTTGTATACCATATCAATGGCAAAGTCCAATGGGAATGCGGAAATGTGTTTAGTATCTGTGCAACAAATATAAAAAATGAAATTCACCAAAGTATTAGTGTCTTACAGTGATAATGGTATCTAGAGTTTGTGCTTGTAAAATCAAACAAAACATTAAATGTATGATAAGGAAACATAATACAGATGCATGTCCCTTTTGATGGAAAATATTTTGCATGAAAAGTTGCTTAGACTATATGAATGTTACAATGAAATTGTTAAGTGTATGGTTGCAGAACAAAGAAGAAACAATGAAAGTTTAAAGTTTCTTTCCTTGTGCTTCTAACAATCATATTAATGTAGAATACAACAAATTATAAATCAGTGTAGAAGTCTCTCATTGAAAAAAGACATAAGTGGAGTTGTAAAAGGCATCCAGTGATGCATACAGAAGGAGAGGAAGGATGAGTTGTGACTTACTAGGGTGATAGTTTTTAGCTAGTCGGATGTCTCTTGGAGATGGGAGGTCACTTTCTGATGAACTTTGTGAACCTGGACCAAGATACTGTCCAACTGCCGAATGTCTCTTTGATGGGCTTTTATGTTATTTTATAGGCTCAAATTGACTCCAGTTTTTATTTTGTTTCTTTGGGTGGGAGTGGGTGCTATCGGTTGTAAATTCTGGGTTGTACTGCTTATTTTTTTCTTTGAGTGTGTGAGTAAAAATGGAAGATATGTGCAGAGCCTTGCACAGTTGATGGAATTTTAGTTCAGTTTTGGGTGTTTAGAGTGTTCACATCCAGCCAGTGATGGAAATTAGGGTAGCATGAATCAGAAGAAGATGTTTTTTTTTAAGGAAGAATGTAACAAAATGTTGTTGAAGAGAATAATAAAGAGTATTTAAAGTTAACAAGGGATGTCTTTATATCTTTATATATTATAACCTTAAGATCACAAGAGAATTGGCATTAGCTTACAGAGAAACAGCATACAAATTTCTAGAGCATCTCAAAAAAATAATCAAGGAAAATGGTTACTGTCAAGAGCAAGTCTTCAATTGTGATGAAACAGGAATTTCTAGAAGAAATGGATGGATAAATGTCAAAGTAAATAAAGAATAAAGATCATGATGAAAATAATCAGGATATGCCAATAAAAATGGGAGCAGATGAAAATGTAGATATCCTAAAGATTTATGAAAGTTCTGATGAAGATCAATTGAAAGAAGAGAACCATGAATATAAAAAAACACAAAATAGATCAAGGTCAAGAATTAGAAGTACAATAAGATCTATGGAAGAAGGAGAAGGAGAAGTAGTGAAAGGAAATCCTGAAAATGGAACAGAGCATAGAATAAGAAAAAAAATTAACCAGTGGTGTAAGACCCCTCCATTTAAGGGAGATGTATTGATTTGTAAATGTAAGAGTAGGATCATATGGACAAGAGACACTCTATATAAATAGTCATGAGCGGAACATATTTTGTCAGTAGAAATTGGAAGTGACTTGCAAATACTACTAATAGTAGTACACATCACAATAGCATTGTTACCTGACTGTGCTGGCCCATTTTGGAAAAAAATAGAAAATTGCCATTTACTGGAAATAAATAACTATAAAGACATTGAGGGCAATTTTCTTGATTGGATACTCTGAGGTACAGATTAAACTGAATGACACTCCAACACAGAATATAATAAAAATACATCACAAAAAAGATTGCTAAATTGGTTTCAAAATAGCATTAAGTGCTAGTTAGTTTACAGCACAAATCCTAGGGACTGACATTTTATGGTGTCTTGAAAATGTACGAGACATGATAAAAAAGTATCAACACTGTTGCTATGGTAATGGAGCTCAAGTATGTAGAGCAAAGCTGCTTGGCAGATATAGCAATATGAGGCTGCTGAGGTATTGTCAAATTGAAAACTGTGGAACCTGTCACAAAAGTGGATATGGAACATTTACTTTCAATCGATGATTATCAGTAAGTGGAGTCAGCTTTAAAGTACAGAGCAAGAGGCACAGACAGAGAGAAAGTTATGGAAGGAAGATTAATTACTTATTTTAGACAAAGATGACAAGACAAAGAAAATTATTTATCTATAAAACTGACCATCCTTTGAAAAGGAAAACAAAAGGAATGAAGCAGGCCTTGCAGAATGCAAGGGGAAGATGACTGCTGAAATGTGCACCTTCTCCCTCACCCATGCTTCATCTCTACTTCACTTGCTTATAGCAGTAAGTTACAACTCAAGAATAAAATTTGGTTTACTGCTAGAAATTGTATGGTTCTTCACTCATAGATAACAATTTGGCCAAACGGTAATTTTTAAGCCACAAGCATTTGACTGGAATAAACTGCACCCTGTCAACAAACCTAGTGTCTGGTCTGAGCTGCAATGTAACATACAGATTGATCTTGAACTCTATTTCTCATACACACTGTTATACTGCTCTCACTCACTTCTGTTGCTTATAGCGGTGTTTAGAAGGAAAGTGTGTAGAGTGTAGCCATCTCACCACAACAAAAAAGTTTCCATTAGTGACTATGGCTTGTGCAGCAGTTTTTGGCTAAGAACAACATTCACCAGGTCCTACAACTGCCATTTTCTCCAGATCTTGCCCTTTGCCACTTTTCCCTCTTCAATAATCAAGTCCCAGTTGAAAAGAACAAGATTTCAAAACGTCAAAGAAATTCAAGCGAATGTGACAAGGCAGCTGCTCAGTATCCCCAAAAAGACATTCCATAAATGCTTCCATCAATGCAAACAATACTGGATAAAGTCTGTGGCTTCAGAAGAGCTCTACTTCAAAGGAGACTAAATGCTGAATCAATATATGTGTTGTAGTTTTCTTTTTATAACACCAGTCCTAATACTTTTTAATCAAACCATATATATATATATATATGTGTGTGTGTGTGTGTCACCAATAGGCAATGCTAGTTTTGTAAAGATGTATAAGAACATTTTGGAAACATATATAAGTATATGTTGATAGCAGACTATGTAAGTTTCATAAGGACATCTTGAAAATGTATATATGCATCATGATCAGTCAATGTAAGTTTTGTAAGGACATAAGAATCTCTTCAAAATGTGTGTATATATATATATATATATATATATATCAACAGCAGGAAATGAAAGTTTTGCAAAAACGTATATGTTCATAGCAGCAGAAGTGTTAACTAACAAGTATAGGAATTAAAGAACAAATCCTTGGCAAACTTGCACCCTTTTCTTTCAAGAAACTGTTTTAATGCAATAGCTGCTTTACCCATTATGCCACAGAGATTCCTGACTATATAGCTATTTGCTATCTTTCCTTTTTTTTCAATCTGTTATTGCTTATAAATTATTGCAGAATGATGATCTAAGAGATGTGATAAAAATCAGCTGAAATTAAATTGAGAAGAAAAACACGAGTTGAAAAATTAACCACAAATAAAAAAATGTTTATCCCTTGCAGCATATTGTCTAATGTAATGTAGAAGACACACTCTTGGTTCATTTTCAATAAAAACAGGCCAAGACCACACTATCATTTGAAGGGGTGACGACAACTGATCTCAATTTTACCAGCATCTGACGACTTTGAGGTTGTATCAATGCTCCTTAATACAACATTGAAAAAATTACCTTCAAGGTATACCAACCTAAAGTTGGGATGTACTGAAGAGGAACCATGAAGGCCTCGTATTCCATGTCCTGCTGCTTGAATATGCGGTCACTGTTCATCCAACGTGTTGCATGATCAGCACTGCGAAAAGTCAGGAGAGTAATGCAGTAGTCAGCAGGCCAACTGGAATCCTCCAAGGCTGTCACCTGCAAGAAAGGAATAAAGAGTGAGAACTGACAAAATGTTAATACACAGCATGTTCAGTACAGGACACAGCTTTAAAAACAACTATGGTATGGGGATTTTTCCATACAGAAAGAAATTACTATATTTTCTTGTGTATACAACTAGAGTATAATATGATCCCATATTTCTGCAAAAAAAGCAAAAAAAAAAAAAACAGGGAATAAATTATATCCTTGTGTATATAATATGACCCTATAGTACAGCCATCCCTATGTAATTTTTTTTTTTAAGTTGTACCATGTTATCTATTAAAATCTCATTGTGGTATATATATTTCACTAAAATATTTGATTTTTCATGATATTAAAGAATAGAAATGAGCTGGATGATTGGTCATTGCATGTTTCTTCTAATTTCCATTTCAAATCTTATTTTTGGCTAGAAGGTCATTTGTTAGGTTCACCGTGCACCTGGCTTCTCTAAGCGCAAAGTCTATTCTGGCATGATCAGTGGTAAGCCACATGCTACAAGACTCAAGTGGCCAAAGTCTGATAACTGGTCTCATATAAATAAAGTTGCATTGCATCAAAGAATTGGAAAGGAATGTGAATAATGAGTTTGACACAAACAGAATTAGCATAACATATAGGATAAGGCAGATTATTTTTTTTCTCTCTGAATTTCTAGGATGAGGATTTATCATTATTTCCACTACTATCCTTGGCTGTTGTGCTCTTTGGATAATGGCCTAGTGGATTAAAGTATTGGTTTATGAATTTGGTGACATAGTCATTGTGAGTACTTATATTCAGTGGAAACAGGTGAGCAATAACTGAGCAGTACTAAATAAAAATAAGAACTAGACAATATCCCTAGACATGAGCACTGGAATGAGAACAGTCTACCCCAGTAAATTAAATAAAGGTTTCAATTTGGAATTCCCTGTAGGTTATGCAGATCAATATACACCTGAGTAAGGCCGAAGGGCACAATGGCCAAAATTTAGAGATAGCAACAGCAAAGATGAGGACAAAAGTCTGAATGTAAATAGTGTAAATAAGGTGTATTATATTTGTAACAATATCTGAACAATAAACCACTTAGGCTCTTGTTCAACACCCTCATAGCTGTAATCTGTAGTATTTATTTCCAAATTAACTTCATCTTAAATGGCAACAGTTTTCAAAAATAACACTTCAGTTAATTATCCCCTTATTATCATAACACAAGCAATCTCAGAACACAAGTGTGTCAAGTAGAAAAACAAGTATTTGAAGGTATTAGAACTGCTACATGACAAGTAGTATTCTGTACAAAGCCATTAAAAATAGACATGACACAAGGGCTGGAGAGGAAAAAAAAGTGAAAACTGAAAAAGGTGGAAATATAAGGTTTGAACTTAACTTCAGTCAGTTAGTTATGTGCCATGCGTGATACACGTGTAGGCGATCATGTATCTTTCAATACATGACTGATGAGGTAGATTTTTTCCCGTAGTAGGTTGCTATTTCTTTCTGTGGTAGACCAGTTACTGTCTAAGGCGATAGAACTTGGTCTGTCCTGCTATTTCGCCATAGCTGGGGGGAGAAGAAGAGGATCCATACCTTTTCCAAGGTTATTAGCACATAACTGAATGTAATGGATTCAACTGGAATTTGAACTCAGCTCTCTGATTACTCAATCTGAGCCGCTATCCATTACTCTACAGTGCTTCCTTTTAACTTACTAAAACAAAAATTAACTTAATTTACTAAGACAAAAATATATAAAAAGTACTTTAATCACTAGATTATCCACAGCAAATTAATGTCCAGGTTTTTACAACATTTCACCTTGCTTAGATGATAATCTATTATCACAATGTGAGATATTTGATAACAAAAGGGATGGAAACATGAACAAAATGAAAAAGAAACTAAATGAAATTGGCTAGACTATATACCCAAAATATGTTTAAAAAAAAAAATTTAATTTAAAATTCTCAGCCTCCCCTCTCCTTCATGTGTACTATGGCAGGTTGATTTTTCACTTTTTAAGAAAATTGACATGGCACTAATAAATAAATAGAGTATACAAAGTCAGTCAAGTATAAACCCTAAACAAAAAACAAAGAAGAGTAACACATAAACTGACTGTTGGCTTAAGGAATGAAACCCTGTCACCATACAGTACTGATTTCTATCTTCTCATTTTTTATATATAGATTAATAACTAATCAGAAAAAAAGTTAAAAAAAAATTAAATCTTTAACAAAAATCTTTCATTGCTTTTTAATAAAAAATTCTTATCAATGAGAAATTGCTGCCAAATACACATTCTCTTTCTCACTCTTTCATTCACACACACACACACACACACACACACACACACACACACACACACATATATATATGTCATCCACAGACAGACTGTTTCTCTGTATCACAGCTCCTCAGTGTGGCTAGACATCTAGAACTCAATTGATACTTGAAGAGCCACTGTTTTTTAAAATTCCCTTTCCTAGTGAGCGCAACTGGATTTCTTTCCAGGAGCATATATATATATATATATATATATATATATATATATATATATATATGCAAAAATATAGTTTTAAAGTGTGCTATATTTATGGGATAAAGTTCTCAATATCAGAGATAGAGCATACGTAAATATAAATATAAAAGTGAACATTGAAGTCAACACTCAGGGGCAACAGGCTGTTTCATGCTAGATGCAATCATAAGGCTGTGAGTGTTGGATTTTTTCTCAACTATTTATATATATGGGTCAGTGGTGTATTGTGGTAAATCCATTCTGGCAGTTATTTTGGCAGGAGTGGCTTGTTTATTTATTTGGGTTAATTTATTTTACTTGTTTTTTATTTTCATTTTTTATTTTATATATTTATATATTCTTTTCGGTTTTCGATGTTTTATTAACATAGTAAAAGAATTATTTTGGGGATTTTTTTAGGTCGCTTATTTAATAGTTTGTTTTGGTCTAGGAAGATAAAGCTATTTATTCATCCAATTTTTGGATTCTGCTATTATGGCGGGGGACAGTTTTTAATTTGTTTATTATTTTATTTATTTATTTATTTGGATTGATTATTTTTACTAGTTTTTGCTTATTTATGTTTATTTTTATTAGTTCTAATAGCAGGCGCGATTTATTGATTTATTTGGTTTAATTTTTACTTACTTTTTCTTATTTATTTGCTTATTTTTTGTTTTTCATATTTTTATTTACTCCATTCAGTTTTTGATTTTTTTTATCATTATATAGCAGATAAATATATATTTTATTTTGCAACACATATTTATAAACAGAAGCAAAATATCATTAGTTTCTCAGAATTTCTAAATTCAACTGAGCTTCTGGCTAAATTATTGGGGATGCTAACTGATGTAATTTAATGTTTAATAAACAAAAGTGAGTAAATGTTATTGTTGAATTTTTAATTATAAAATGTAATTATTATTTATATTGTTTTAGTTTGAAAAATTAATTTATGGATTATATATTTTAAATAATAGAAGGCTTAGAATTTAACTGCTTTCTTTTAATTTTTAACATTTTTTATAGTCATGGATTGTGATAAGAGTATTTCTTTTCAGAAACAAGATATTTGAAACAAATCCAGGCCACAGATTTATATATTGGTAAGATTCGATAACAGCACTCTCAAGAATATTCCATCTAAGTAATTTACTTTATCTCTGAATAAGTGTCGATTTCTTTAGATCAAAGTTGTGGATGAACTTATTTCTAAATATGTATGACAGATGCATTTGATCAATTGTTGTCTATAAGATCCATTTTGTGTTCATAGATATAAGTTTTCCTTTGGGCTTAATTTATATTAGCCTTTTACAGATATATTTTTAGTTATATCTAAATTTTTACACACACACAAAGGGTGTTTCAATAACTTGGACTGATTTTAAACTCACATATTCACATTTAAAATTGGTCCAAGTTATTGGAACACCCTTTATATATATATATATATATATATATATATATATATTATTCAAAAATTATAACCTAAACATTTTACAATATCACTACAAAAATAGCCATTTTGTTTCAACACTTCTAGTGTCTTCAAAAGCGATGGTGTTGAATGTAGAATAAAGAGTTTTTAAAATGTTCAAATCAACCAAAAATGTTCAAATCAACCACCCCTCAATAGGGGAAATGCTGTTACATAAGCTACAATGACCAATCAAAATACAAGGATATGATAATTCAAAAAACTTGACAACGAACCTTGGTTATAATTATTAATGCCTTAATGTTAATGTTAGACTAAAATAGAAATCATTCTAATTGATTAATTTTAAATTTTACTATAAAATTAAAAATAGAAATTACCAATTTTAAATTTTAAATTTAACCTGTATTAAGTTTAAAATATAAAACTATTTAAAGAAGAAACTGAGGAAAATATACATATATTTTATTATTTATTTTGTATTTTAATCGAAAAGCCAAATTTGCAGTTAAAGCAAATGCTAATCTGAGGAGATTCAAACATCATAACAACTTAGATACATTTGAAGGGATCTGAAACCAGATGATGTGGGCAGGGGAAGAAGTTTTATAAATGACAATACATACTTAATCATATTATAATATGCAAACACATAGACATATTTAGATATATAAACATGCAAAAACATGGACAAAACAGAAAATAGATGTTCACGACAAAAAAAAGAAAAGGAAATATAATATCAGACACATATACATACAATGAAAAGCATACAAAAGCAATCATACACACATACATTAATAAAGACATAGACATATACATAGACAAACCTACAAAGATTCAGGTCTAAAAGTATTAATAAACGAATGCAAACCAACTATTAAAATATTACTTACATGGACAAAGATAAATGAATAAAACGAGGGTTTAATAGATAGGAGTTAGAATTGGAAAACATATTCAGCTATGAACAAAGCAAAGAAAAAAGGCAATTAAACATATATATACAAATGAAGAGACACAATATATACCCCAAAAAAA